ATAGTGGATTGTAAAAAAGCCATTAGACAAGTGGAGAAATCACCTTTTCTTGATTTATACTAGCTTTTACTATTATTTTTTCTGTTAGACTATAAGCTGTAATTACCTTGAGTTGATGTTTACAGAAGAGGTTGATAATATATTTTATTGTTCTTTGTAGTACTTTGATTCTTTTAAGAGCCTACTTCAAGCTTTTTAATAGAACTGAGTTAAATGTCTTCTTTATGAATTGCAGAAGTATTCAATTTCTCTTTTTATAAATATTTTGACTAGCCTTCTTGTTATCACCTTTGTGACTAGCTTTCTAAAGGTCTTAATTAATGCTATTAGTCTAATATTGTTTAGATTATATTCTCAATCTACATCTTTTGAAATTAGATAGACTTATGCTATTTTTCACTTTTTTGGAATTTCTTCTGTTTCTAAAACCAGATATGCGAATATTCTAAAGATCTTCTGTGAATTCTTTTTTGCTTATTTTATTAAAGTGTAGCTTATGCCTGAAATTCTTGAAACTGTATTGGCTTTGAGTTCTCTTAATATGTCTTCCTATTTTTTTTTTTTTATCTTTTCTTCTAACTTTTTATACTAGGACTCCTTGATTCACTCTTTTGGATTGTACACTTTTCATTTGGTTCTTATTTTCTGAATTGATTTTCAAAATATTCACAAGAACTTTTAGAACAGCCTTAGATTTTGTTATTAAACTGGTTTCATCTTCACTTTGGGTTATAAATCTGTTTAGAACTATCTTTTTGTATAACTTGTTCAAAAGGCTAATAATTATTTGTTTCTAATCAGTTTTTATTATCTAACATCTTCTATTTATATTTTTTTTATTTGTTTTCTTTGGATCTGTTTCTATTCTTCTTTCCTTTTGTCTTTCAAAATTCTTTGCCAATCTTTTATGTCATCTATCCAAGCTTCTAACTATTGTTTGTATAGCTTTGGTAATACTATTCTTATTTCTTTACTGATGTTTATAAGTTTCTTGTTTATCTTTTCTTTCTTTTCTTTTTCTATCTTTTAGTTCCTTCTTATCTTTGCTTTTATGATTATTTGATATAGTTCTATTATGTGTTTATGTTGCTATAGTTTCTCTTAATAATGTCTTCTGTTTGTTTTTGTATTGAATATCTTCTTTTTTGGAATTTTTTTATTTACTGCTTTTATTATAGCTTCTTCTATTGCATTCCATATCTGATCTAGCATATTTGTATTATATGAACTGCTTTTTCTATCTTTTTCTAATTGCTTTAGCACTTTTTTCTATTCTAATTATGCTTGAAGCTCTTTAGCATATTCTTCTTAGTCTTTTGCTTTGCTTCCTTATACAAATATATTGTTCTCATCTAGTTTTAGATTTAGTTTGTGTACAGTTCTGGTTTGCAATTATATGCTCTAATCATATGACTGTTATTAATATCTTGTAGTCACTGCCTGTTATATCTTTTGCTTCATCTATATTGACTTCTTGAAGATTAGCTGCAATTGTTTTTAACAACTAAATATAGTTAATTCTTGTTGCTGCTTCTTGGCTTGATTATGTATATACCCTTTTTGTTAGATACAAATTTCTAAAAGAGTCTGTAAAATCTTTCCTTTTAAGCCAATTGAAGATTGTCAGTTTTTTATAATCTGTTATTTGTAAGTGCAGTTTGTCTAGTATATTGTCCACTATATGGTTAAAATTTTTAAGTATAACTATTTCTATACACTTTTTCTTGTTTGTTACTATTTCCACAATTTTTTGTTATATTTTCTTACTGATTGTCTTATCATTTAGTAGAATATATACTCCTATTGCTACCAGTACTAGTTGTTTGAAGTATAGCTTTATTTCTATTATATATTTGCTATGTCTTTTAACTGTTTCCATATATTTTTTCCAGGTTCTATCTATTAGGATCTGAATATCTGATCCTTTTTTCTTGTCCAATACTGCACTTTTCCAGTAACCTTTAAATCTCATATTAAGATTATTTAATAAGATTTTCTCTTATTTTTTTATAATGTTTGTTTTTATTATTTCCAAAAATACTATTTTTTCTTTTTCTGTCCAGCCTAGCAGATTTTCTAATTTTCAACTTCTGGTTTTGAATCATTGATGATATTGTGATATGCAATTTTTATTTTATTTTTTTTCATTTTTCTTTTAACTTCTTGTATCTTGTTTCTATGTTTTCTGCTTTTTCTTTTCTTTTTATTCTCTTTTCTTCTTTTTTCTTCTTTTGAATTTGGAAATTTTTCTTTAATTTTTTTTTTAAAACCTTTCTCTTGCTATGCAGAAAATCTCTGATCTTCTTATCCATATTCATAAGTTTAACTTGAATGCCCTTAGAAGCAGTTAGTTAGGTCTTTTTTTATACCTAGCTAAGTGTCTTCTAATCGATTTAGTCTATCCAAGATTTGATCTAAGACTTCTTTCATCTATCTTGTTTTCACATATACTTGTATGTTTAGTCTTATCTTCTTTTCAATTATGTTTTGTTATTTCTTTTTGTATTAGTATTTTTGACTTCTAACTATTTTTCTATGTTTTGTAACTGAGGATCACTTTCTATTTTAATGTATCTTCTATTTAGAACCTAACTATTTTTATCTTAGCTTTTTCTGTCAATAGTGTTTCTATCTTTTAACCACTCTTCTGAATCTTGTACTTGTGAATTACTTCTTATTTCTGTATATCTTTTGTTTAAACTTTGGCTAATTCTTTTTTAACACTTTCTCTTTCTTTATTTCTTTTCTCCTTTCATTTAACTAGGATACTTGAAAATTGTTATATTTAATTAGTTTTAATTGGGCTGCCTTCATTTCTTTTTTTGTTATAAATGTATTTATTGCTGTTCTTCTTTGATTCTTATTTCTGTTTGGTGGAATGTATACTAATTTTGCATCTTTGCTTCTTAGATAGTATAACAACAAAACTTCTAAAGCATTGCTTAGCAACTCTGTTATTTTTCTATATACTGACTTTGTTTTTATCTTGCTTCATAATTTTCAGTTATTTTTATCAGTTTGTTACTGTTAACTGATATAAACTATAATGTGTCTCCTTCTTCTGATTCTTCTAATTTGACTATTTTGAGAGACTTGTATTTGGATCTTTTGATTCTTATTATGTATGTTTTTTTAAATCTTCTACATATATATTCAATTTTTTTTCTATTTATATCTGCTAGTAGATCTCAGATTGTTATATATTTATGTTTTTATATTTTCTCTTCCTTAGTATCTATTTGATCTTCTGTCAGTTCTCTTTTGCTTTCTTGTCATTCATATTTCTTCTTCTTAAATTTTAATATATTGTTTTTTTTCTTCTGATATTCTTTATTATATGTTTTTCTCTTTTCTTTTTTGTCTATTTTTTCTTATTTCATGATCATTCTGTATCAATTATTTTCTTTTTTGCTAATTTTTTGTATTGTCTCATTTCTGCCATACTTGCAGTCAAAGTCTACCTCTATCTATAGATTTCCTTTTTTAAAAACTTTTTTATATTTTTGATATGCTCTTTATTTTTTAGTAATCATCTAATAAAGGTTGTATATTTTTCTTTAGTCTTTCTAAGTACATTGTATGCTAATATGTTTGTAAATAGGTTATTGTTTCGATTGCAGTCTCTTTTGCTCAATGCTCATATGCTTTCTTTAAATGATACTTCTACTATATCAATTTCTTTTTTGATTTCTTGTTTTCTTGTTTTTTTCTTTTTCTTTTCTTCTGTTATTGATCTCTGTCTTGATTCTTTCTTATTCATTTCTATGTCTTCTTGTTCTTATTCTCTTTTTTGTTCTTTTTCTTTTTTCTTATAAATAAATAATTTGCTTCTACTTGATTATTATTTGTTTGTTCTATCTTTATACTTAATTTTTTTTTTGTAGTTTTGATGTTTGTTTGTAAACTTTTATTAGTCTCTTCATCCTCTTCATTCTTTTTTTTTGTCTCTATTTTCAGTTCTTCTTGTCTTTCTTTTATCTCATTTAACTGTTATTGTTTTTCTTTCTTTTCTATACTTATTTTATCTTGGTATTGTTCTACAAAATCTAGCTTCTTTTTAGGTTATTTTTTTTCTGTTTTTTCTAATATTTCTCTTATTATTTACAGAAATGCTACTTTATTGGATCTTGTCTTGTAAATATTGTAATAATATTATCTTCTCTACTAGGTATTATATATGTCTTATTTACTTTATTAAAAAAGATTTTATTATATATACTGTTCATTGCCTCATATACTCTTCTTGTGAAAATTGCATTAAGGCTTCATTTATATTCTTCTGACAGACTTCTGTTTATATTACATAATTATTTTCTATATGCTTCTATGTCACATGTTGTATCTAGATTAAACTAGTTTAATATACATATTTGTTTATTTACTTGCTTGTCTTATTGTAACTTCTTGTGTAATTTGAGAAATCTATAATACAGAATTATGACAATTTCCTAATTTTTTCAAAAAATTTTTTTACCTTTCATCAAAAATTCTATTATATATCATTTTTTGCTGTCTTTACATTTTCTTTTTTATATTTCTATTAAACTATATGCAATTATTGTTATTTTGTTTTTTTTGTTAGTATCTCAAGTCTTGTTTTCTAGTCTAGTTATTGAGTTTTCTTAAGTTTTGCTTCCTAAAATTTTGGTTGATAGATCTACAAAAGAGAGTTCATGATAACTGCTTAAGTTTAAATAATAATAATAATAATAATAATTAAATAAAATGTAGTTAGTAATTGCTTACAAGATTTGCATATACTCTTTCCAGACCACATGCATTTGGAAGTAGAGTGAAACTAACCAGGAAAATAAACTACAACAACAAGATAACCAATCTTAAAAAAGGTTTCAAAGCAAGGGCACTTGTCCTTGTTACAAGAAAAAGATCTTTTAAAGCTTTTAACAGTACAAAAAGCTTTGGCACTATGGCAAAAAAATGAAAAACAACAACAAACACTAATAAGAAAAACACCAAAAATGAGAAGCCTATATAAGTAGAAGGCAATAACTCAGGTTCACTAGAACATATCAGCAAAAACAACCCTAGCTGGGATGAACAAATAGATCAAGAAACTAAGAAACTCAAGGAAATAACAAATACACAGAAAGAAGAACTTAAAGAAAATAGAACATACATAACAAAAGAGAAAATCTCATCAGTAGAAAGAAATGACAACATAGAAACACTTTTAGAACAAAACAACAATACTTCTACATACAATGAAGAGGTTATTGAAGTCGATACAAGTAATAAAGATGTCTTTGAAACTAGTATACATAATGAAGATAACATTCAAACAACAACACATGACAATAAGGTCTCTGAGACTAGTACAAGTAACAAAAACAACATGGAAACAATAACTCAAAATGAACCAAGGAATGAACAAGGGGACTCCACTTTGGAAAGAAACACAACTTGTAGCTCTAGTAGAATAACTGAACCACTAACAAAAAATGGTCAAGTCTCTTTCCCAAACTTAAAAGAGGCCAGTCAACTTACTCATCCTTTTCTCCTAGGAACACAATTAAATCAAAGAATGAAAATGCTCTTATTATTGATATACAAAGCCTACGATGCTCTTTTAACGAAATTATGTCATCTTTATTCGAAACGGCTAAAAATGACATCATCGCAGCTAAACAACATCTTACTAAAGGAACACGATCACATTTAGAAATTATCTTTACAGACAAAGAAAAACTAAAGATCTATGCAACAAAAGGCATTAAAATTTTCAACAGAACATATTTTGGGTATGTTTCAATGGATATAAGAAAATCATTCTTGCCAGTCAAAATCAGGAATGTCTCACTAGGCAACAAAGAAGAACTGTCAGACTCAATTAAAGATGCTTTTGAGAATATAGGTAAAATAGCATTGATTAAACCCCTGTTAATCGAAGGTACACCATACCTAACAGATCAGTGGGTTATAATTTTCGAGACCACAGAGGATCCATTTTTAGAAGGCAAAATACCAAGATTTACCCATATTTGGGATAACAAGGTCACAACAGAATGGAAGGCAGCAGCAAAAGTATGTTACTTCTGTGAAAAAGAAGGGCATATTAAAAAGGAATGCCAGCTATTCCAGGAATCTGTAACCCTTCACCAACAATATCAAGACTTTAAAAAAAAAATAGATCATATAGCAAAGAAAATTTAGCTAATATCAGGTCAGAACAAGAACTCTATGAAGGTAGTTCTGCTAACAAAGAAGAAAACTCATACTTGTAAGATGATGTGTCTATTATAAATGGTGTGGGCTTACAAGGAAATGATATAACACAAGATGAACAAAAGGGGCCTTTGTCACCTTCAATAGAAATAGACAACGATAAAAGATACTCTATACCAAGTAAAAATAAGGACCTCTTACCTGACCCAATATCAGCACCACGTGATGAACTGGCTGCACTGTATCTTAATACAGAACTATAGGCAGAAAACAAAAACACAGAAGTAACATTACCTATAATGGAAGTTGACAATGAGGAGACCCCTATGCCATCTCGTAAAAAAGACAAAGATAAAAAAGAAAAGAGCTTACAGGATAAGAACCAATTAAGGCCTAGCCCTTACAGAAAACAACATAATGAGGGACTACCCTCACAGACCTAATTGGTCAAAATTCAAACTTAAAATCGCAACTTTGAATGTAAAAGGACTAAATGACTGAGGCAAATAGCAAAAAACATTAATACTCTTAAAATCCTATAATTTAGATTTAATAATGATACAAAAAACTAATCTCAACAATGAAAACACTAGAAACTTTTTAAAACACCAATGGATATTTAACTCGTTCTGGTCAGACAAAGTGGCAATTCTGGCTGGAAACAGAAATATTACTTTTAAAAATATGAAAGTAAACAATGATAGACGAGTTATTATAGCATCATTTGTCTACAAAGGTCTCTTATTTCATATTACTAATGTGTATACACCTCCGAACATTAGCAACAGAGTACCATTTTTTGACAACTGGACTTTCCAAATAAAAGAAAATGCAATAAACATTATAGCAGAAGACTTCAATATAAATCTAAAACCTGAAGCAAACAGAATAAGTCAAGCAGCACCTCAGCCAGACCCATCAAGGAACCAACTGTTGGATTTAACAAGAAATTTTTCAAACACTGCAGAAATTGCAGGCTCTAAGCCCTTTCTCACATTTCACCAAAAAACACAAGGTGGTAACATGATGGCAACATGTTTAGACTACATATTTATCGATGAAAATCAATCACACTTAGTTTCTAAGGTTGCTACGCACTTTGGTAACTCAGACCATCTCCTAGTTAGTTGCTCACTTAACTCCAACTGGAAACGAAAACAACCATCTAATTGGCACTTTGATAAAACCATGTTCAATAATGAAAAACTTAAAAAAGAGGTCTTAGAGGAAATTAGTGAACCAAATGCAACAGAGGATTGGGATCTCTGCAAGGTCTATATATAATCGATTATAAGAGCATTTAGAAAGCCAAAAACAACAGAAAGCAAAATCTTAAAGCTTAACAATGAAATAACAAAGTTAAGTGAAAAAATAGCTGACTTCTTCAACACAAAAAGCTTGTTTTCATTTTTAGATGAGCTTAATGTACAGCTACAAGAAGAATTAACAGTTTTGACAGAAAAATGGCATATTTGTTCCAAAGTGCAATAGATAAAACAAGATAAAAAGTCAACAAAATATTTTTTTTGCAAAATATAAACAAAGGAAATCCCAGACAGCCCATTCAGAAATTAAAGTTCCAAATAGTAATCATCAAAATAGTAAGGACATTTTACAGTATATTAAAAAACAATATGCAGAAACCTACAAAGCAGAAAGGTTTGACAAGAAAGCAGCAAAAGAAATCACAGAGAACCTTTTACAAATACAATATGAATTCAATAATGTTTTAGTCAAAAGAATTACACAAAAAGAAATAATAGAAGTTATACAAAACCTACCAAATAACAAGTTCTCTAAAATAGATGCTTTAACTTATGAATTCTACAAACTTACAAAAGAAACAGTAGCACCAGTTTTGAAGAAAATCTTTAATAAAACTCTAAACTCTGGCATCCTTCCAGTCTCATAGTGCAAGAATCTAATTATACTAATTTTGAAAAAATCAGAAGAGCTTGACAATATAAACAACTGGAGACCTATTTTGCTAGTTAACAGTAATGCAAAAATCTTTATAAAGATCATAGCCAACAGGTTAAATTTAATCTGTAATAATATAATCCCAAACTATCAACAAGGCTTTATTATAAACAGGTCTATAACAGACACAGCACTTGATATTTTAACATCAATAAAAAACTAAAAGGATAACTCTAAGCAACACTAGATGCTATTTGTTGATCAGCAAAAAGCATTTGACAGAGTAAATCATGGGTTC